CTGATTTGAAGATGCTGTCACCCAGGAAGCAACTTGCAATCGCTGCAGGGAAAGATGCTGAAGACGATGAACATGGTGCTCCCCCTGTCGCCCATGCAGCTCCTGCCTTGCCAACTCACCAGACTGAGGCATTCAAACCTAAGGTGAGGGTGACCTTTGCAGACCAACAGCAACCCAAAGATCAGACCATTGACATTGCCATGGAGGATTCTGCAACAACAAGGCCTTTCAATGATCAGTCATCAGGGTCTCAAGGTTCTCAAGGTTCTCAAGGAGAAGGGGCATCAAGATTTGAAGAGCAAGCGTTCAACCTCTTGAAGGAAAGGGCTGATAACAAGAAAGGCGTGATCAAGGCTATACTGAAGAGGCCAGCAGCTTCATCTCCACCACCTCCAAAGCCTACTTTGCCTGAGTATGAGCCTGGCAAGGATTGCAAGGGCACCAGCTTGAAGAACTGGACAAGCAAGCATTATCACAAGGCCAAGCTCCTTGCTAAGAAACAAGAGGCCAGTGCAGAGGAGGTGCTTGAATACGCAAGGAAGGCTTCAAAGAAAGCCTCCATCGTTTGGAATGAAATCAATGGCTGATGACACATCAATATACAAAGGACCCTTGTTTCCAATTCAAATGATTTAACAGCTCATGTGTGATTCCTTGTTGCTGCATGCCACCAATGTTGCAAATACAAAAGGATGTGTTGATTTGCTGAAGTCATCAAGCTTGAGGCATAGTGCCAAGTCCCTGGCCAAAGAGTATTAGACCAGATTGTAGCATGTGGTGCATGGATTGCAACAGCTGCTGCCTGGAGTCAAAACAATGCTGTGCACACCTGCCACATGCAATCAGTGGTCGAAAGTACATGCATGCTTCAAGCAGGTGTGGCCCAATCTAGAGACAGTGTGGTGATTGCCAAACTTGCACTGTGGATGACCAGGTGGAAGAAAGCATCACAAGTGTTGAAGCAGTGTGCAAGCAGGTTTTCAATCAGCTTTCATGTGTTTGGTCCACGCACGCCCTTATAACCTTTAGCTTGTCCTTTCCACTAGCTAAACTTGAGCTTGGCCGTTTTCACTTGTAACTTGCATATAGCTACTTGCATCACTGTTTTCTGCATTTGCTTTCGTTCAACATGGAGACCGAGCGGGCAGCCAAGCTGCGAAGGCTTAATCAGATGAGGAGGTCTTTGCCCTATGTTTCAGCATCAGCTTTGTCGAGTGTTCTACAGGACGTGGAGGAGCAAGGGGTGCCAGAACTGCATGGCAGAAAACACATGAAGGAGGCCTCTGAAAAAGCTCTGGCAGATCACAATGCTTATGGTGATCTTATTGACAGCATTCCAATGGTCCACAAGGATGGAGGCACAAAGATGATGCTTGTGATCAATTTCCTGTCCCTGCTGCAGGCAGCATTTTATGAGGGGGAGGGCTTCTGTCAGTTGATATTGGATGCTTTGAAGACCAGCCCTTGCTCCATTGATGCACCATGGGACTTGATTTATTACACAGATGAAGTTACACCAGGAAATCCACTGTCAGCTGAAACATCCCGCAAGATCCAAATGGCTTACCTATCATTCTTGCAGCTTGGTGCAGTGGCATTGTCAAAAGAGGAGTCATGGTTTTGTGTGCTTGCAAAGAGGTCTTCAATAGTGGCAGACATGGAAGCAGGCATGAGTCAAGTTACAAAAGGGCTCCTGAAGTACATCTTCAAGCACCCAGCCTGTGATGTTCAACAAATAGGGTTGCTCCTCAAAGCCAAGAATGGTGCCAAGGCAAGATTGTACTTCAAACTGGGGATCTACAAGATGGGGCCGCCCATAAACATGTGTTTTCTTGCAAGGGTGATGCAGGAACAAAGTTCTGCCTTCTTTGCACCAATTTGGTTAGCGCAAAAAGCGGGCTTGCCGACCAAGACGGGGAAGATCTACTAACCTGCTCAAGTTATAGCTTGAACGAGATTGTTTTAGCAACTGACAGCGACATCGCTGGGACGTGCCAAAGGCTTCTGGAGAGGCATGCCACTATGTCCAAGACTGACTTCACATTGTGGCAGCAGGCTGTGGGGTTCACCTTCAATCCCATGCCCTTCTATTTGACATGAGATGAATGACATTGTGAAACCCATATCTCAGTTTCTTCACGATTGGATGCACATGATCCTGGTGAAAGGTGTCTTCCAGACCATCCTGCACCTCCTGATGAGCACCCTGAAAGATCACAAGGTTGATGCCTACACTATGTTTTCCCAGTGTGTGGAGCTTTGGCACCTGCCCTCTGCAAAGTCAGACAACTTGAAGGTGCTCTTTAGCAAGAAGAGAAAGGATTCCAACAATGAGGCAAACACTTTTAAATGCACAGCTTCTGAAGGATTGTCAATGTACCCAATTTTGGCTTACTTTGTGCAGCATGTCCTGATGGTCAGTGGGCTATGCCAACCTGAATGCAAGGCCTTCCTGCTACTTGCAGATGTCATGGACATGCTGGCCTCTGTCCACATGAACATCATCACCCCTGATATGTTGCAGCGGTCTATTGATTCCTTTTTGCAAGCGTGTATTGCATGTGGCTGGGGCAAACATCTTCATCAGAAATTTCACTGGGTTTTACATCTCCCTTCTCATTTGCACAAATTCAAGCTTCTACCAGCATGTTGGGTACAAGAGCGAAAGCACAAATGTGTGAAGCGGTATTCTACTGCAATTTCCAACACAACAATTTTTGAAAGATCTGTACTGGTTGAAGTGATCTGTCATGACCTTGCTGCCATTCAAGACCCATTGGTGTTCAAAGAAGGCCCGCGTTTATTGAAGAACTCCAAGGTGACGAAGAAAATGAAGGCGCTGCTTGAGTCTATGGGGCAAAATGTCACTGAAGATTGCTACAGCTGCGCCACTGCTGTGTTACACCCTGCTGGACTCTGTCACAAAGGCGATGTCGTCTTGATGAGAGGCCCATCTCAGGTAAATGCTGGCCAAGTCTGGATCCATGCGATTTTCAACGGGGTGTGCATGACTTTGATGAGCAAATGGAAATTGATCTCTTACAACGCTTCAAATGGGTTCGCCGTGTTCAAGCAAGAAGATCATGCTGAGTTTGTGGCAACTTTGGACATATATGCATCTACCACTTGGAGTGTTCATGAGCCAACTGTATGCAAGGTCCTTGTGCCCTTGGCATTCAGAAACTGAATTGTCATCTGGACACCTGTCTCACACAATGAAGCCGTGGTGGAAAACAAGACAAGCGCTTCATGCAAGCTTGCTTGCGCACATTGACCATTACTTTCATGTTGAGCATGTGGTTGACCAAACACAATCCAGCCATCCTTGCAACTTGTGATGCTGTGTTTGCAACCAAGCTCTTGCACACAAGGTTTTTTTCTTGTCAAAGCTAGAAAAAAAGCTACATGTAGGAGTTAGCTAAGTACTTAGCTAAACCGGCTAACCTAGTAGCTAAGTCCTTAAGTTATGTGATTAGCCTAACCCCTGTAACAGCTTAGCAACCTTTTGGCAACTCGCCTAAGTAGTCCTAAGTTCTAGCAAGTTCACAGCTCATCCAAGTGCGCGGGCGCGGGCGC